GCTGGATAGAGTTCCAGCCAAGATTACACAATGAATCAATCTCTCTCTCTCTCTCTCTCTCTCTCTCTCTCCCTCGGTTTCTCTCTCTCTCTCTCTCTCTCTCTCTCTCTCTCTCTCTCTCTCTCTCTGTGTGTGTGTGTGTGTGTGTGTGTGTGTCTGTGTCTGTGCATGTGACTTTGGGTACTCTCAGAGGCCAGAGATATAAAAACCTAAAAACCCCTTTGAGTTTCAAGCAGTTGTGGGTTCTGGGAATCAGGCTCAGGTTCTCTGTAAGAGCAGTGCTCACTCTTAACTGCTGAATCAGCTCTCCAGCCTTCCTTTCCTTAAACTACACTCTTGATCTACTGATCTACCCCACCCCCTTTTTTTTTGAAATAGCCCGGGCTAGCTTCAATATCATTATGTAACAAAGGGTGACTCTTGATCCTCCTGCCTCTACCTCTCAAATTCTGGAATAGTAGGAGAGCGCCTGGCATTTTATCAGCCCTTTGAAGGTAGTTTACTTGCAAATACAATAAATAGTCTTCTAATGATCTCAAAATAATTTTTCTGTCTACAGAAAAATTTTACTCTGAACAACAGAGTCCTGTAAGAAGACTAAGAACCAAAGTGAGGCTGGTGGCTGTTTCCTGTAACTCTCCGACAGGCAGAGCTGCAGGAAATAGCAAATAGCCAGGGCCATTTAAACAACCTCTCTGAAGTCATTTCTTCTCTCTCTCTCTCCCTCTCTCTCTCTCTCTCTCTCTCTGAAATGAACACTTGGTTCACTGAGTTCCCTAGAATAGGAAGGGTGGCACATACCCTGCCATCACTTCACCTCCACCCATCTGAGGAAGATGTGTTCTTTCTGAGCCTGCCCTGAGCTTATGGCCCAGTGAGGGGTGTCCATGCTCAGACCTCACAGGAAGGCCGGAGGAAAGAAGCAACTCCACAGAGTAGTGCTGTCCAACCCCCATAATTCAGAAACCAACCCTTCAGTAATAAAGCGAATCATCAGGGTCAGACTTTGGTTGTAATTTTATTACCACTCAAGCTGTAATGTTGTATAAGAAACATACTTTAAGTAAGAAGAAGGTCTAAAAAACAAAACCGATGCTTATCTCCAGGGCTAGTCAGACAGACGGAACCCAGAGCTTGTGTCTGCAGCACCTACCTTGGTGCTATTGTCATCTGAACTATCACCACAGCTCTGAGACGGGAGGCTCGCCTCTTCTTCAAGCCTCCCAACTTCCTTGGGCTCCACGGCCAATGGCTGCTCATGGCCTCGAATCTGCTGTGACTCCTGCCTCTCCCTTGGGAAAGTGGCCGCCTTCACTGACTCGTCTGGCATTTCCTCCTGTTTACTTTCTCCTAATTCAGAACTTGGTACAAATACAACAAGAAACTATCAAACAAATATTCTTGTGGCAGAATAGTGAAGAAGAAGAAGAAGAAGAAGGAGAAGGAGAAGGAGAAGGAGAAGGAGAAGGAGAAGGAGAAGGAGAAGAAGGAGGAGAACGAGAAGAAGAAGAAGAAGAAAGAAGGAGGAGGAGGAGAGGAAGAGGAGGAAGAGGAGGAAGAGGAGGAGGGAAGGAAAAGGAGAGGAGGAAGAGAAAAGAAGAGGAGGAGGAGGAAGGAGGAAAAATCCTACACTCTAGATTTTTCACCCTAGGAGATCCTCCCACCCCCAAACTTCAAACTTGGACTGTACATCAGTGGAGCTGTTCTTGTGCATCTTATAGCAGAGGCTCTTTTTATCCCTACTCGGTCAGGGAGACAACCCATCCATCGTATATTTTCATGTACAGCCCAATAACCAGTTCAAAGAGATTTTTCTCCTCTCTGGACTTCTAGTATTGCACTGGGTAGATTTGGGTCATAAACATTTTCAAATGTCACTTAAAAGTAGTTGGTACCTCCACAAGGGCTACAGTGGGCTGCAAGGGGTTTATAATTGAGAAATAAGGATATCCAGATACTAATTAGGCTGAATGGTAGTATATAGCTTGGTTAATCATTGACATGAGCTAAAAAGGGACAAGACTAAAACTGTACATATGTTTGCACACACACACACATACATATACATGGATGTTCGTAGATTTTGGTAAAAATGAGATCATGGCAAAACAAAATATCCCACAATGGTTTGACAAGCTCTGCAGGGGCCAGCAAGATGGCTCAGTAGATGAAGGTGCTTGCTGCCAAGCCTGATGACCTGAGTTCAATCCCTGGGACTCAGGTGATAGAAGGAGAGACTTGAGCCCTTTACCTTGTCTTCCTCTGACTTCTGCAAGGGTGCTGTAGCATCCTTCCACTCTCTAGTAAGTAAATTTTTGTTTTTAAATAAAAAAAAACATGCCAGGGAAACTGGATGAGAGGTTGTTGTCTCTATCCACATAATAAAATCAGGGTCAGGAACCAGGATTGGGTCTGGAGAGACTTCAAGGTTGGTATTCCTGATACTCATCTGTCAGATGTGGAGGTGGGAAAGATCAAGGTGACATCTGGATTTCTGACTGGGCTAAATGTGTGGCTAGACAGTGGACTAAGGTAGGAGGGTGTGGATAAGAACGGAGATGCGCTGAGGTGAGATCCCAACACAGGACAGGAGGGTAGGAACCTTGCACTGAAACCCAGACACAACGAAGAAAGGCTTGGGGATGAAGGGCTCATCCTAGTCAGAAGCCAAAGGCTTGTAAAGAACAAGCAGAATGGGGTAGAAAGCCAGAGAAAGAGGGGGACTCCTTGAGAATGTAAGTCACAGAAACAGGAGGAGGAGCGTCCCTTCAGCTGCCTGAGAATGTACAGAAGAGTGCACACAAACGGTGCACACACACAATCTGAGGGGCTTTGCTGTGTTTTGCTTCTGGTGTCTTCTTTTTTGGCAGTGCTGGGTTTGAACCCAGGGTCTTCTGCGTGCCAGGAAAGCATTCTGCCTCTAATTTATGCCTGCACCTTGGTCCCACTTGTATTTCTAGTCCCCCAACCTGAAGTTTGGGGCTCCTCGAGCTCAGCCCGAATGCATCACAATCATAGTTGTTCACTTTCAAAAAGGAGTTGGCAACACAAATCCAGAGCCATAAAGAGGTTTAGATGCTGACACTGGAGAGACGGCTCGGGAGTTAAGAGCACTGGTTGCTTTTCCAAAGGACCCTAGTTCAGTACCTAGTTAGCAGCTCAGAACCATCTGTAACTCTTGTTCCAGTGGATCTGACTCCCTCTTCTGGCCTTCATAGGTACTGCATGCATGTGATGCACAGGCAAGCATGTCGGCAAAATGCCCATATACACAAAACCAATTACTTAGAAATTTAAAAACATCTAAAAATGTTTAGATTCTAAGAAATTGTAAACCATGAACATAGACTGTCCTGTGGATCTGCAGGTGCTGTTCTATGGAGCTGTGATGTAACCTGTATCCACTGTAATCAAGTAATTTGTAAGAAAACAGAAGCTCAGTATGCAATGCTACCCATAGTCATTTCATTTAAGACGGCAGTGGACAGAGACAAACCGTTCTGGTTTGGACATGGCTTTGTCATTTCCCCCAAGGGAAACCAGTGAAGCTTGTTTGACTGAGATATCCTTCTACCAACAAGTGTGAAGAGCAGCTGAGGCTGACTCCTGCTGTCAACCTTGGGCCTTGACATTCGAGCACACACTCACATGTGGGCACATGCAAACATGCTCGCATGCTCACACACAGGGACAAAAACAGGAAAAAAAAGGCCATGCCTTTCCCTTCCTTTCTCCCTGGCTTCCAGACTGCCATATAATATAATCCCTTCTTGCATGTGTTCCTTCTGCCGGGAGGCCCTAAGCAGAGATGGGTGCCATGCTTCTGAACTCCCAGAACCATGAGGTAAATAAGATTCTTGAAGAATTCAGCTTCAAGTATTTTGTCATAGCAAGAGATATGGTCCCCAAATCAGCAAATGAAACAATCAAGCTGGAAGTCAAGTTCTTTTATTTATTTAAAATTGTATTACATGGCCGGGCGGTGGTGGCACATGCCTTTAATCCCAGCACTTGGGAGGCAGAGGCAGGTGGATTTCTGAGTTCGAGAGTTTGAGGCCAGCCTGGTCTACAGAGTGAGTTCCAGGACAGCCAGGGATACACAGAGAAACCCTGTCTTGAAAAACCAAAAAAAAAAAAAATTGCATTACATGTAAATTTGTGTGTGCATATGCATGCCACTGTGCATGTGTGACAGAGGGTGGCCCGTGGGAGTCAGTTGTATCCTTCTGTCATAGGTCTTAGAGCTCAGACTTGGGCTTGATGGCAAGTACCCTAAGCTCCTGAGCCATCTCATTGGTGCTCCTTACTGTTTTGAGATGGGGGGGTGTCTTTCACTGAACCTAGAGATGACCAATTTAGCTAGATGAGCTAGCCTGTGAGTTCCGGGGACCCTTCCATCTCCATATGCCAAACCAGTAGAGGGACAGGTGGACGTCACTGGAGATCTGAACTTAGGTCTTCATGTTTGCTTGGCAGGCCCTTCGCTGCCTGAGCCCTCTCCCCAGA